AATATTTAACTAATCTAGGTGACAAGGCAGAGATGAATCTGTTCAGTGTGCAGAATAAATAACATTTAATTACAATGAAAATCTTCATTCGAAATTCTGAATGCAACTAGTAATGATTAAATAGCATTTTAAGAGATTAATTACCATTAAAGAAGAAGAATGGACGGTCTGGTACAACAGTTGACCTTCTCCTGAAAGAAAGTGGTCTGCAACTCATTGCCCACAACACACAAATCACCAAACACAGAGATGGCTTGACAAAGTTTCAATAGACACTACAATGGCGTTCACAAAATTGGTTCAGACAACAGAGTAAAAAGCTGTCTTGAGAACCTGCAAAAATCTGAAAATGGGAGGAGCATTAAGATCAATGTATGCAACCAGCAAATACGAAGAAGTCCGAGAAGAATGGGAGGAAGATTACAGCCCTCAGAGGTTTTCTTACAAGTCTCTCTACAAAGCCACCAAAGGGTTCAAAGAGAGCGAGTTGCTCGGAACTGAGGCAAACGGGACAGTCTACAGAGGAAAGCTTTCCTCCAATGCACAGATTGCTGTAAAGAGAGTTTCTTTGGATGCAGAACAAGACACCAAGCACCTCGTATCTCAGATTGTTGGTATTGGGAAGCTAAGGCACAAGAATCTTGTGCAGCTCTTAGGATACTGCAGAAGAAAAGGTGAATTACTCTTGGTCTATGATTATATGCCTTATGGAAACCTCGATGATTTCTTGTTTAATGAAGAAAAGCCAAAGCTTAGTTGGTCCCAAAGGTTTCACATCATCAAAGGAGTGGCTTCGGCTCTTCTCTATATGCACGAGCAGATCGTTCTCCATAGAGATGTAAAAGCAGCAAATGTACTCTTGGATGAGGATTTAAACGGGCGCGTAGATTTTGGTCTAGCTAGATTCGGCACAAACAGGAATCCCATGCTTGGAAGCGTAGGGTATGTGGCTCCAGAGCTTATCATCACAGGAATGCCAACAACCAAAGCAGATGTTTATTCATTTGGGGCATTACTACTTGAGTTTGCATGTGGGAGAATGTTCATCGAGTATCCCGGGAAGCCTGAAGAGTTCAATTTAATCAGCTGGGTGTGTCAATGCTGGAAAAGAGGTAACTTGGTTGGTGCTCGAGATGCTAGATTAGAAGGAGATTACGTCTGCAAAGAGATAGAAATGGTACTTAAGCTTGGACTACTCTGTGCACAGTATAATCCAGAAGACCGGCCTAGCATGTCACAAGTGGTGAACTATCTTGAAGGAAATGATGTTTTGCCTGAGATGCCACCAGACACTCCCGGGATCAGTATTCCAACGCCGTACCATGAAGTTCTGGCGTAGCAGCACTGTGTCTAGTGCCGGTAGGCATGGAACATTCCATTCCATTTTCTCCAAAAACCTACAACCAACCAAGTTACCAGAAAATATCATTGGAAGAACGTTATCATTTATGCAACATTTCTTTACTGTTTTTCCGCCTTGTGTGTATCCATTGAAAGGTCAGCATTTACTGATTTTGCACTACTTCAAATACAACACCTATATATTGTCAGGACAGGCTTGTAATAATGACATGAAATTTTTCAAAAAATAGTGTAACAATCATGTCACAAGTAGAGAAGGTTTACTAAGTTTTCTTTAGTAGTTTTCTCGCAATAAGTTTAACCTCTATTCTTCTATTCTTTAGTAGTAATGCCGTAAATCATCTCTCATTATATTCTGAGCATGTACTATGTTTTAAAAGTAATAATAGCCTTTTCCCTTAAAGTCTCTAATAAACTTTTGATTTCTAATCACAAATCTTGATATCTCTAGCTTGGTTTCCCTCAGCATTCTCAATAGCCTAATAATGTACCTGTTAATCAAATCTTGATTCGTTTCCTTCAACTTCGAGAGCTCGAAATTACTTATCCATCTTCAAGCGAAAGAAGATTTATAGGGTTCTTCTTACAATTGATTTCATTGGAATAAAATCGGGTCAGGGAAAATCAATTTATTGATTGATGCGCGTGTTGTAGAAAAGATTCGAATAATTCTAGTGGACAATGGGCTTTAAAGTAGGCCCAACAAGTACGTAATAATTCAATTTTGTAAAACACGCAAACTCATTGGGAATTGATGAGACATTTACATTTACGTCCCGTTTGAAACCTGAAGCTATAATAGAGCAGACGCTCTGTTTTTTTCCATTTTCATGAGCTTCTGTGTCTTTTGAA